CAGGTGGACTGATATATGACTGCCAGTGTGCTAGTGATGTCAGGAAGTGTGAAGATGGCACAGGATAGGACAGGACTCAGATATGTTGTTCATAGGGTTGCTATGGGTCATATTCAACTCGATGGTACCTAACAACAATAACAACAACAACCCTCTCCTTTAGCTTGTAGCCTCCTCCACATTACTCCAAAAAGCTGGAACTTGCATCCCTGTCCCTGTCCTTGGCAGATGTACTTAGTTGCACGTATGCATTTTTCCCCAGTCTTGCTGACAGGAGAAAAGGCTCTCTCTCAGCTGCGTGTTGCCATGTCGAACACCTCACACTTTATGATCTTTTCCAGCACGGCAGGTGGCTGGGAGCTGGTTTTGAGAAGGAAGGATGGCAGGAGGCGGCACTTGGAATCCAACAAGGACAGAGGTGACTGGAGATTAGTTTTGCTGCCAAGAGTTCCCTTGGCCCCTTCTCCTCTCACACAGATTCCTGTCTTCGTCCCAGGCCAGTGTCTGGTCTTGGTCTCTTCTCATCCTTTCCCTCTCTGAGACTTGGGGAAATATGACACTGGCAAAGATCAGGCAGCCTCTGTAGGGAGCTGGATGGGTGCAAAAGAGGGGAGAACTGGCCACTGACAGTTTTCAGGAGAAGGACATCATGCTTGGCAAAGGAGAGGGTCAGACATAAAAAGGAAGACCCTCAACAAGATGGACTGTCTCTGTGGCTGAAACAAAGGGCTCACAGTGTCTCATTCTGTCGTCAGAGACTGCGTGACCTCTCAGGTCAGCCAGCTAAAAACCAGTGATACGGGTGAGCATATGGACGCTCCTGGAAACTGCTCTGGGCTGGGCCTGTTAGGTGGGTTAGAGGTGAACATGAAAGTCCTGAGCTGCAGGCGGGGTCCAGGAAGCAGATGAAGATTGGGGTCAATTTGGCTCAAAGCGAACCCAAGTGGGGCCCACTGAGGTACATGACCCTCTTCAGCCAGTTCTTCCCCTGCCCCAACGGGAGAAGCAGAAAGAAAGAAGGCCATGCCAGGAATGTGGCCACAGCAGAGGCAGGAGGGAAGGGCAGCCTGCTGCAGGAGGGTGGGTGGAAGGGCCTGTTGCTGGCATGGGGAGAGGCCCCCTGCTCTCCCACTTCTTGTCCCCCAGTTTCTCCTCTTTCTGCGTGACACAGAATACTTCCCAGGGGTGGCCTCAGCAGAGGAATGGGGAGCTTGAAGTTTGTATCCCCTCCAAACCTGGGGAGAAAGGGCAGCTTCCCCGTGCCCACAGCTCCTCCCACCCATAGCCATGAGTGAAGGCAATTGTTTCAAAAGATGCTGCCCAACGCCCAACACCCAGAGAGCACAGCTCCAGGGCCCCTGGCTGGGCTGGGGGAAGGAGGCTGGGCTGCCAACCAGCAGAGGAGTAAGAACAAAAAAAACCCAACAAAACCCAAAAAGAATTTGCCACCTTTTCTGAGTCCTTGTCACTGCCTCTCAGCCTGCTCTGTCCATGGCCTTCCAGGGTTTCTTTGGGGGACCACCTACCTCACCTCACCTCTGGGTGGGGAGCATATTCTGGGCAGGGTGGGGGGCATGTTCTGGGCAGGGCTGAGCTCTTGTAAACAGGGGCAGGAGTTCTGTGAAGAGGGAGGAGACACCACCGACCCAGGGCCTTGCAAGAACAGAACAGGTCGATGAGGTCCCTGGGGGATCTTGGGGACAACTGGACCCTCTAGTCCCCTTCTCTTGTGGGGAGCGGGGCAGCTCAAGGAGAGAGAGGAGGCCAGAGGAGGAGAACCCTAAGAGGCTGGTCTGAGAAGCCTCGAGGCAGACTGACGCTCACCTGGGTGTTCTGGTTCTCAGACGGGAGGCCTACCTGACATCCTGAAACCGTTAAGCCATGTGGCCAACATCAGCCCCTAGGCCGGGTGCAGGGACTCTGGGAGTAGCCCCCAAAGTCAGAAACTGTGTGCGTGACAGGGGACCCACCTGAGGGCTGATTCTACCTGTCTGAAGGCAGGCAGGCAGCCCGCCCACTGACAGGTCCCACTGGTGATGGGTGTGGACTGGCCTGGGGGAGGATGTGGAAGGACACGAGGCTGGGCTGGAAGCCACCTCTACCCGTTCAACATCTCTTTCCTGTCACTCTCCTGTTTTCCTAGGCCTCAGAGGCTTAGACCTGGCCAACTGTCAAGGGCCCAAGGGGGCCTGTCATTGGAGGGAGCTCAGGAGTCCCCCCAGGCCCATCAGCAGGGAGACTGAACACTACACCTTCATCAGATAAAGAGGGATAAGGATCACCTCTACCTCCCAGTGCTGCCAGGATGAAATCAGAGTGCAGGGAACACGTTTAAAGTGCCTGGCACGAGTGCCTGGCACTCAGGAAGAACTCAATAAAGATGTTAATTATTAGAAGGCTAAAGGTGCAGAGGGCTGAACCAGGGGGTTCTTCCACACTGGTTCAGTCCAGCTCTCAGGAGGCAGAAGGTGGGGAAGGCTGGAGGGGCAGGCTCTGAAAGGGGTGGCTGGAATTTGGGGAGACTGGGACTCAGGGAGACTGGAGCAGGTGTGCCCCACAGCTGGAACAGCAGGAGAACCCCACCTGTGCTGGGGTAAATAGGGAGATGCCTACAGGGGAGGAGCCACAGCCTGTTTTCTGAATGATCTAGAAAGAGTTCTACCAGAATGCCATGCAGAGACTGAAGTCAAGATTCCTCCTTCCAGAATCTTCTACCTGCCTCCCCCACTCCCCCCGCTCCCCTCATTCTTTGCAGCATTAGGGATGGCGGAGTCACCTTCCTCAGCAGCACTCAAGAGGGGCTCACCTTAAACGAAAAGCTTGGTTAACTAGGCAGCCCCTGTACCCTGGGGCAGAGGAGGCAGGCAAAGCCACCCTACCACACTCTTGGTCTCTCCAGGCCCCTCAAGGCCCAGGCCCCATGGATATCAAGCCTTAGCCTGAGTCACAAACAGATGACACAGCTCCGACAGTCTTCCTGCTCTGGGGCTGTGCACTCCCAGGCTCCTGGTCTCCAAAGAGCCTAGAGACCACGTGATGGATGAATCAGAGGAGGAAGAGGGCTTTTTCAAAAAGTGTTTGAAAAAAGGACAGAAACTCTGCTCATCATCTACCCTGGAAGCCCAGTTTCTAACACCCAGGCAGACCCTCCTGGGCCCCGAGGTGGGGGCTCCTGGCCAGAGCCAGCCTCTACACCCACTGTGGGCCCAGTCCTTGGCCCTCTCCTCCTGTTCAGGGGCAGAGAGAGGAAGGAGGCAGAGAGAAAGACAGGAAAGGGGAGTGGTGTATGCTTTCTTCAGAATGTGGTCCCCACAGTGGGCCTGGGCTGAGTGGGTTCTGAGCTCCCCTGAGCTACCAGCAATGGTGGGGCCAGGATCAGCTGGGAGCCTGCAGCCTGGGGACTCTGGACAGAGCCTCCCTCAGAGTGCTGGTCCTGGCTGTCCCTGGCCAGCCTCAGGGATAGCTCCCCACTGGCCCTCATGATGGTTCTTTTCCTGCCCTCTCTGCCCTACGCCTGCCCAGTCTTCTAGTCTAGCTCCAAGCTCTCCAACACTCAGCCCCTGAACCAAGCTCACAGTGGCGCCCCCACAGAGCCCTCCCGGCTTTTCCTTTCAGTACCATTCACTGCCTCCCATAGTCCCAGCCAGGTCACACCCAGCCTGGCCCCCTCCTTGTTCTCCAGCCCTTCTCTTCCCTCTGCAGCTCCTCCTGATTCAGGGCATGTTCCCAGCTTCAGCAGTTTTTGAGGCCCTTGTCCCACTGAAGCTGACTGCCCGCTCCATCACCCCATGTACACTATAGCCCAAGTCACCAAAGAGGTCCAAAAAAGCCCATCATTTGAAGAGTTGGCCCCTGGACACATCCAGACCCCTCCCCTGGCAGTGGACAACGGTGGCTGAGCCCAGGGTCAGACCCAGGTCCCGGGACCCTACGCGAGGCGCGCCCTTCTTCTCTCTAGATTTCTCTTCTTTTGGCTGTTGCGGGCTGGACTACACCTTCGTCTCCTCTGGGGACCAACTGAGGGCAAAGAGGTGATGTGTCCACCCCAAAGGAAATGACAGGGGACAATAGCTTCGCAGCTTCCCAGTCAGCACCCCGAGGTGACCCTTCTTATGGCACCCAGGTTCTCCCACTCTTGGGAGATGCTCTCCTGGGTCTCCTGGAGTCCCGGCCAAAGCAGCCCAGCCCACAGCTTCCTGAGCACAGAGTCCTGCCCTGTGGCCCTTGTGTCCCAGCTGCACAGAAGGCACTTGGCCTGGGCACTCTTGGGTGTAAAGCATTTCGTGGCTCCCCAAGAAGAAATGCAGCATGACACTGGGATAGTGTCATGACAGAGACTGGAGCTACATGGCACCAGGTCTTACTCACCCCACTGCCCTGACATTACCACGGCTACCCTGACCCTTAAGTACTGCACCTTGACCTTGAATTCTCTAGAGCTCATGGAATGAACAAGTAGTGTCTGCTTATAACAGCAGGAGGCTGGCCTCTAATCCAGAGAGCGAACCTCTTCCTGGGTGCCTCCCTCTCCTAGGGTCTCCCACACCTGGACCGGCAGGACTGCTGCTTGGTGCCTGGGGCAGCTCCATATCCTGCACTGCCCAAGCCAGCCCTGCTGATCTCAGCACGGTCCCCGGCTTCAGGAGTCCTGGTCGGGGCCCTCTGCTTCACCAGGAGAGGGACCTGGTCCTGAGCAGACAGCGCACTGCCGCTGAGCCAGAACTGACCCTTGAGCATAAGAGGTGACTGCCCGCCTTTTCCCTCAGAATAGCTAGTGGATTGGAACCTCTGGAGACGTGGTGTCTGTGTGTTAGCAGCACAACTCCCTGTAGACGATGCTGTCAGAACCCACCCCCCATCCCAGCAGCCAGCTGCCCAGCCTGTGTTGGGGAGCTGTGGATGGGCTCCTGGGCACAGGAAATGCCACTCCCATTGATGCCATACCTCTCTCTCCCTGCCCCGAGCCCCACGAAGTCCCCACTCCATCCTATGGCAATTACCTTCTCCCAGTCCACCTCTTTCAACCTTGGTTCGATCTCAAGGTCTGTCTTCTGAGTTTCCGCGGAGGTCCCAGTCCCGTTCTCCAAGGAGCCCTGCAAAGAGGGAAAGAGATGAGAGGTGATGACTTACAGGTGGGGGGAGAGCTAAGCCTGGGGAGCTGGCCCCCGTCTTGTGGGGGATGAGCCCCATGAGTGAGGCAGGGTGGACGAAAGTACCGAGCACTTTTGAAAACAGACTGACATTGATGTGGGTGGCATTACTCTCTGTACTTTCTTTGGCCTTTTAAGAAAAGATATTTCTGCCCAAACCAAGAGGCGGAAGATCCGGGAGAGTCAAGAGGCTACGTGTCACCCCAGTCCTGGCCGGTGTTGAGGCCCAGGGAATGACAGGGTGTCGCCCAGGCTCCCTGGTAACCACACCTGGTGATGGCCCACCTCCCCCTCCTCAGTTAATTCCCTGGAGCCCCAGGGTCACAGGCTGCCCCCAGGACAGAGGCAGAAGGCCAGGGAGGAGGTTTCCCCAGAGCCCAGTCTGGGTCAGCAGCCACACACAGGGCGGAGTCCCAGTAGGCTCAAGGTTATGTGGGGCTGGCAGGGCTGTAGTCACAGGAAATGGAATGTACTGGGAAAGTCACACAGCCCAGCGGCGCTGCCATCACGTGGGTGAGGCCAGAAGGCTAGCCCAGCGCTACAGTCAAATATAGGGTCCCCTCCTGGAAGGGCGGGGTGTCCACACCCTAAGTACCTGGGGCTCAGAGGTGGATTGGTGCTGGGTGGCCTGGGAGGGATCCTGGGAGCTAAGCATCTGACAACTGCTGAGGAAAGGACAGACTAGCTGGCTGCTAGTCACCTTTCTCACATTTTTACTTCCAAATAAATCCAGGAGAGCAGGATGTTACCAGTGACCAGGTTTGCATTTGCTGAGAAAAGCCAGGTGCCACACAAACAAAAGTGGGCATTTGTGGTCCCCCTTGGTTTGTGTATTTCAGTGTTGTTAGTCAGCAGGTTACTGTTTTAATAGGGGAGAGCAGCACACGACCTCCTGAGAGCAGTGAAGAGATGCCAGCGTCACACAGTGAAATGTCCCAATAAAGCCAGTGTAACCATCCTTCAGGTCGAGTTCAGGGATCTTGGTCTTTGCCATTTTGCTTTATCCTGAAAATGCCCTAGTGTGTCCCTACTCATGGCAACCCCTGTCACTCTCACAGAATAAAAGGACTACCTTAGGGCCCCTGCGTACCCCCCAAGCCCCTGACGCTTGCACCTCAGCAAGAACTGGCAATAGAAGAGAAGACATCGACCACGCTGTCCCATCCTGGATTGGAGCGCTCATCCCTCCCACTCAAGGGTCCGCTCTGCCCTGGACGTTTGTTGTTAGGGACGTGTGTCGTTGGGGATGTGTGTCGCTGGAGACGTGTGTCGCTGGGGACGTGTGTCATTAGGGATGTTTGCTGTTAGGCGTCCTCGAGGTAGGAATGGCCTCTAGTGACCCTACACGCGTCAGCACGTAACCCTGCCTGGCCCTGCATCCTCACGGCCATTGCCATGTTCGAGCTCACTGCTGCCAGCCTGTCCATCCGTCCTGCTGAGGCTCCTCCTCTTTCTGGCTGCCCTCTGCCAAGCATGTCTCCGGCGGCTGGCCCCTGCGGCTAGCATGCCCAGAGTACGGGTGGGCAAAGCACTGTTGCCATCCTCACCTCCAGGGAGCATGCTGGCCGCACTTCTCCCAAGACACACATGCTCACTTGGCAGCCCATGGGATGGTCATCTGCCAACACCATCATTCAAAGGCATCAGATCTTCGGTTTTCCTTGTTCATTGTCCAGCTCACTGGATGTCAGGTCATTTTCTAGAATTCCAGGCCTTAGAAACCCTTCCCTTATTCTTGGGTGTCTCCAGGTTTACAAGTACCACCTCCAGGTGGTTCTGCCCTCCAGGACTATACATGACCCCTTCTCTTCTATAACACAGGTTGGTGACTATTGAAGACCACCAGCACTCCCACCTCCTGCTGACACTGCTGTTCCCAGGACCCTTTTTTGGATGTGAGAAGGTCTCACCATGGGTTACTGGACGAGTGTGGATCACAGCAGGGTTTGTCCTCCCACCATATCCATGTCAGCCACCTTTTCAAGGGCTGGGAATCTTTTTGAAGTATCACAATGTCCCCCTTCTTTTTTCCTTCTCCCCTCCTATGAGACATCACTGCTTTAGAAAACTGCTGTCAGGAACTTCTCCAAACTCCTGAAGAGCAATGATGTCAGTTTAAGGACTAAGGTGCACCTAATTCAAGCCATTGTTCTTTTCAGTCACCTGCTATGCATCTGAGCGCTGGACAATGAATAAGGTTGACAGAAGAAGAATCAATGCCTTTGAGCTGTAGTACTGGAGAAGCGTCCTGGATATCCCATGGATTGCCAAAAGAACAATGAGATATGTCTGAGAGAAAGTACAGCCAGAGTTCTCCTTGCAGACAAAGATGGCAAGGCTTCATTTAGCAGATTTTCAGCATATCGTCAGGGAAGGCTTAAAAAAGATGGAGGATCAGGGAAGTAGAAGAAAGCCCTCAATGAGATAGACTGACACAGTGACTACAGCAATGGACTCAAATGTGTCAGAGAGGATGAGGATGGCACAGGACAGGACACGGTTCAGGCCTGTAGTTCATAGTGTCGCTATAAGCCACATTCAACGGGATGCCACATAACAACAATAATGAGATACCATGCTGGGAAAGGCAGAGGGTCAACAAAAGATAAAGAAGACCTTCAAGGAGCTGGATTGACACAGCGACTCTAACAATGAACTTGAGCATGCCAGAGGTCATGGGGATGGTGCAGAATAGGGCAAGGTTCTGATTTGTTGTTGACTGTTATGAGTCATGGACAACATGATGGCAACCCAACCCCACCATGAAGACCTCATCCATACCAACTGCTCTCATTCATCCACCAAGCAATGAGGTGTGAGTACTAGTTCAGAAGACCCTCAAGTGTACTTCCCTCTGATAATGACCTTGCTTTTTGCCCTAGAGAGGTTTCCAACTGCCCACAATCTGTATGTAATCCCTGCCATCGCCTTCAATGCCATTTAGGGCCATTCTTTGTCAGTCACCTTATTCTAGATTCAAAGTCTTCGGCATTTCCAAACTCTCTCCTTTTACCATACTTATTAAATCAGTACTTTGACCAAAGAGTCCAAGAAGTTGGACTGTGTGAAGAAGCGGGCAGCATTAGGACCAGAGCAAGATACATAAACAACCTGCAATGTGCTAGGACACAACCTTGCTTGCTGGAAGTGAGGAAAATTGGAAGCACTTATTGGTAAAGATCAAAGATAATGGCCTTCGGTATTGGTAAAATACCAATAAAGAGAAAACAAAAATCCTCAGACTCACTTCATTGTGATGAGGGCAAGGGGCCAGGTGGCATTTTGTCTATTGTGACTTTTGTTGTTGTGTACTACTGAGTCAGATTCAACTCCTAGCTGACCATCCAGTGGGTTTTCAGAGGTAGTAAATCAAATCACAGAGCAGCTGGTGGATTCAAACTGTGTGCCTTTGGGATTACAGTGCAGCTTCTTGGCGCTAGGCTACCAGAGCTCCCTGTTATCTCCCAGAGTCAGCAATGACTCAATGATGCCAAAAAGAAAAGTTTCTTGCTATACCCTTATGTTCAGTCTAACTAAAAAGAATGACTCGTCCTGGAGAGGATGGAGCCAGGCTGCTCCTTGGAGGCAAAGATCCTGAAGCTTCGTCTGACATACTCTGGACATGTTGTAAGGAGGGACAGGTCCTTGGAGAGGGACATCATGCTTGGGAGGGTGGAGGGACAGTGTAAGAGAGGAAGATCCTCAATGAGATGGATTGATTCAGTGACTGAGGTAATAGGGGTGGGTGTGTCAGAGACAATGAGATTGGCACAGAATAGAGCAGGGTTTAGAGCTGTTGTACAGAGGGTTGCTGTGAGTTGCAGGCGACTCCACAGCACATAACAACAACAACATCATTTTCTATTCTTTTGTCCAAATGATGACAGAGATGACTATTTGGTGACTGCTTACTCTGTGCCTGTAAATCTAATCTTTCTGACAAGTGTATGAAGTAGGAAGACCCTCCAGGAGATGCAGATTTTAACAAGGAGGGGGACGGATGTTTTGAGGTGCAGGATACAGCAAGGTTCAGATCGATTGTTCATGGCTTTACTATGAGTCCTGGGCACCTAACAACAAAAACAATGGTCAGTCATTTGATTAAGACAAGGAGACTAAGGCGAGGAGTAGTCTCACAACTCAGGCTTTGACAGCGAGACTGGCTCCGGACAGGGCAGGGTTCACAAGAGACTTGATGGCACATAACCACAACAACATAGAAATACAAAAGCTGGACGATCAATAAGGAAGACCAAAGAAGAGACTGACGCCTTTGAAATGTGATGCTCACAAAGACTGGTGAATATCGGCTGTCAAAAGAACAAACAAATCGGTCTTGGGAGGAATCCAGCCATTCATTCCTTAGAAACAAAGATGGCGCAGCCAATGCCTGAGAATGAGTGAAGACCCTCGATGACATGACCCCACACTCCGCTTCATAAAGTCCAGCCTCCCGGGTGTTATGTTCCGCACACAGATTGAAAAGGTATGGAGACAAAAATGCATCCCTGATGCACTCTCTTCCTAAGTCGGAACCATGCAGTGTTGCATTGCTCTTTTCTGATGACTGCCTCTTAGTCCAAACAGTAACTAGGCCACTAGAACTCCCTAATTGGTATGAAATAAGAAATGGATAAATGTTCACTTGATCTAGGTTTTTCTTTTAAAAAAATTACTGGGAATTGAGTTTCACAGAGAAATTGGCTGAAAGTGGAAATCAATCCCTACAACTTTTTCATCCAACTAGCAACACTCTAGATGAAATGATGGAAGTGGAAGATCACGGCTCTTAGGCGTGGAAGGCCTAAGGTCAAGAGTTCTCCCAAAAGGGCTTCCTTGAATCACTAAGTTCTTCTGCCTAAGGAGTAGCACAGGGTTAGGGTTAAACCACAGCCTATGAAACAAAGGTGATGAAATAAAGGCGGTGAGAGGCAGGGAGAAAG